GGTGAAGGAGCAAGTCCTTTAACTCCTGATGCCTCTGCTGCAGGAATGGTGCAAGGAGAACTTTGTCAACGGCAGGAACATGATGCTGGTGTCAGACGTGAGAGCTCAGCTCAGGGACATTTGTGTAAAGGTAACTTCTTGTCATACTGCATTTCTCTATTTCTTCTGTTTGTCCCCAAACTGATTTCTTTTGCATGATGTCCTAAGAGCAAGAAAATGTGGTTGTCCAGGCCAGCTGGATTTATGACATAATCTTGCCTGCTCTCAAGCCTGTTACAGTGGGGCTGTTTCCCCACTGTTGTGCACGTACACACTTGTTCTTCAGCATGTGAACACTGGGAGAATGACTGCCAACTTTTCAGACAAGTGCAGATTTATATGATGAGAACAAATAACAAACAGCATGCCTGCTGCTGTGGCCTCCAGCTCTCATCCAGGCTGCTGAGGAGGGAGGGTGGGCTTTTGGGGTGGGTAGGATGGGCTCAGTAGCATTGGAGGTTTAGGAGCCTGCAGACCTTGTTAGGGTCGCTGTTTCCCTGCAAAGCGTAGATGCCAACCCAGGTAGAGCAGGAGGCACAGCCTGTCTCTGCCTTCACACAAGAAGAAGGGTTCTTAGAACCTGCAAGTGAAGCTAGGGTAGTGCTTCAGCTCGCTCTGTAGGATCTAGCTCCCCTGTCCTTTGGATTAAAGCCACCAGGGGGAAGAGTGGGAAGTGATTTGTGCTGCCTGGCCTGGTTAAATGTATTGTTAGGGATGTCTGTGCCCACGCTGCAAGGTGCTGTAAGATGTGACCAGCTCCTTTGTCTCTCTGTCTGGCTGCCATCCAGTTATCCATGCCCATGGAATCCTCCCGCTCCGACACTGCCAACATCCGCCGCTGCCTGGCTCACAGCCTCTTCATGAACGCCGCAGAGCTGCAGCCGGACGGCACCTACAGCACTGTGAACTCTCACCAGTTGGTGGCCATCCATCCCTCTTCTGTGCTCTTCCACTGCAAACCCTCCTGTGTGGTTTACAACGGGCTGCTGCACACCAATAAGTGCTACATGCGGGACCTGTGCGTGGTGGATGCAGACTGGCTGTACGACGCAGCACCCGATTATTTCCGCAGGAAACTCAGAGCAGCCAAGAACTGAGCCGGGCTGTGGGAGCACCAGGTGCAGGGCTTTAAGGCTCACTCTGTAGGACTGCTTGCTGTTTTGTAATGAGTGTACAGGAACAGCAGGGTTTTGTCTTGCCGATCAGGTACAAACCTTGGAGGAAAATGGCTTCTCTGTGAGAGCCAGGCCTCGCAGGTATCCATGGCTTTGAACAATCATCCTTTTAACAGTTTCTCTGTAAAGGGGACCACAGTATGTGCTGGGTGTGTGTGAGGAGGGGGTGGCAGAAAGGGGAGCTGCTGTCACGTGCCAGTCTTTAATATTTGCTGAGATGTAACAGGCTTGTCCATGAGGAAACGAGAGCTCTTCTAGTAGACTTGATATTTTTTGATGATATTGTTTGTATTCTGGGCAGGTTTTATTGATGGAAAAAAAAAGAAAAAGAAAAATTTAAATTTCTACATACAAGAGAAAAAAAAAAAAGTACTGTTTTTCTTTTACAATCTGTAGAAGGGAGGTGCCACGGCCCGTTGCCTCCTCGGCTATCCTTTACTCACGCATCACGTCCACCGCTTCACCAGGGGTGACGCAACGCCGCTGTCAGGCTGCCTCCCCCTCCTCACCGCCCGCCTCCGCCGGTCGAAGCTTCTCGGCTCCCCCCCAAGGTCACGCCGGGGTGGGTCTCGAACCCGCGCCGCAGAGCGAGGGGCGGAGCGACGGAAGCGGCCGGAGCACTTCCGGGTCACGGCCTCTCCCCGTCTCGCCATGCTGCTCGCACGAGCTCTACGCGGCGCCGCCGCCGCGCTGCGCCCCGCGCTGCCCCCGCGCCGCCCGCTCTCCTCCCTCCCGCCCCGCGCCCTCCTGCAGCCGCCGCCCTTGGCGCGCTCCCTCTGGCAGCGGAGCGATGGCGGTGGGTGGCGGGCGGCGCTGCTCCGCCCGCGGCGGGGCTCTGCTGGCGGCGTGTCCTGCGGCTGCGGCGGGCTGCACACCGAGGGTGAGCGGGGGGAGAGCGGGGGGGGGTTGGGGGGAGGGCGGTCGCCGTGCTCAGCCCTTCTCTCCCGCCGCAGGGGACAAAGCGTTCGCGCAGTTCCTGACGGACGAAATCAAGGAGGAGCGGAAGATCCAGAAGCACAAAGCGCTGCCCAAAGTGTCCGGCGGCTGGGAGCTGGAGGTGCACGGCACCGAGGCCCGGCTGGTGCGCAAAGTCGCCGGGGAGAAGTGAGCGCCAAAGTTCCAAACGTGAGCGATGCGGGCGGTGCTTTCCGAGCGCTGACGGCCTTAACTCTCCCGTGTCCTTTGTAGGATAACGGTTACGTTCAACATCAACAACAGCATCCCGCCCGCGGTGGACGACGAAGCACCGGAGGAGCAGAAACCTGACGAGCAGGAGGAGGTGGGCACGGGGCAGAGCAGGGCGAGGGGATTCCCCAAAGGGTTTCGCTTTGTTTTTCTCTCTCAGTCCGTTTTGGGAACACGTGGAGGGCAGCGGGGCAGCTCGGTACAGGGGGGAGCGGCGCTGGGAGACCCCCATGTACCCTTCCCCAGCACACAGTGCAGGTGCCTCGTGGCTGTGTTGGCTCCTGCTCAGCCCTCAGCACTGATGGCTGCTTTTCTCCTTCAGCCCGATATCACATCGACTCCAAACTTCGTTGTGGAAGTCATTAAGGACGATACGAAGCAGACCCTCGTGCTTGATTGCCATTACCCCGAGGATGAGGTGAGCTTTGGGTGTTTCCTGCTTTCTGCTGCGGTGTAACTGTGCCACTGCTGCTCACAGTCCTCTAGTTTTATGACTGCAGAAAATGCAGTCTCCTTTTTCTTTTCTCCTAACACGGAAAATGATGGGACGTGTTCCTTTCTGCTCATGTCCTGACCTGGCTTTCTGATCAGCTCACTGAGTGGTGGTAGGGGAGGGAGAGAGGCACGGCAGTGTAACCAGCATGGCAGACTGAGATGGGGCAAACATAAGAATGGCCCAAACAACAGATTTAATGCAGTGCACTAACTTGCAAATCTCACTGCTATGAGGTGTTGCAAAGTGAGGCAAAGATTTCTTTATTTAAAAACTAAACAAAGGAGGGAGAACATAGAATTGAGAGCTTCAGACTGATGTGTGTGGTTTATTTTGCAAACTAACAGATGACTGCTGTCTGCAGTGCTGGGAGGGGAGAAAAGCAGCTTTAAGTACCGGTTAAGTACCTGAGGTTTTGCCTGCAGCATTGTATTCCCAGCTTCTGGATGAAACAGCTGATGGTGCCCTGTAATTAGAGCTAATTTGTCTTGTGTCTCATTTCCTGTTTCAGGTTGGCCACGAGGGAGAGGAAGAAAGTGACATTTTCACTATTAGGGAGGTCAGCTTTCAGCCCACTGGAGAATCAGATTGGAAGGACACCAACTACACCCTCAATACAGATTCCCTCGACTGGGTAAGTGCTGCTGGCACGGCTGTGGGCTGCACAGGGCATTTCAGCTTCTCTTGCCTGGCTCTCCAGTTAGCACGGATCCTGTCCTTTGTGTTTCAGCCTGGGATGGACGCTCTGAAAGCAGTTCCAGGTTTTATAAGCAGCTGTATTATGCTGCAGAGACGCCTGGCCAAATATATTTTAATTTCTGTTCTTTTTAAGCACTGTTGCTTATCAGATAGCATATGTAGGTATCTTTCTTTTCTAAGATCTCCAGTTATGTTTTTGTAGTGGTGACTCTAAAAACTGACACCCCAGAACTTGGCATCCACTCATGTATTCTCAGTGCCAGACTTGCAAAAGGTTCGTTCTTAGCTGGGGACCATGCATTGTGTGATTAAAACTTTGCTCTAGGGGTGCCTCTCTCTTTGGAAAGCATTGATATTAGACTGCTTAGTGTGTTTTATATTATCCCACACTGCTGCTTCTAATTCAGATTTGTAAGATTTATGTTTTACTCCTATTCCAGAAGTCTAAAATGAAGCATTTGTTTACTGTTGCTTGTCAGAGGCACTACGACAGGTATTGGCATTCTGCACTAAGCAGTAGCACCAACTCTGTTCCTGTGAGGACCAAGGAGGGGAGCCCACAAGCATAAATGTGTTGCAGTAGTTGGGTAGGATTTGAAGCAAGAAAAAATGGTGTGCAGGTAGTGAAAGATTGAGTCTCTCAGAGACTTACACCAGCTACTCCCCTTTCCAGACACTGCCAACACAGCATGCCTCCATGACCCCATGGCATTAAACAGAGGGGAGAGGCAGAGCTCTGTGTGTGTGGGCTCCTATTGTCCCTTTTATCAGCTCCAGGACACAGCTTGGCCTGACTGTACGGGAAACAGTGATGCCAGTTACAATCAGACATTTCAGAAGCAAGATATCCCCAGCTGTGCTCTGCTAAGGCTGTTTTCTGTTCTTTGCTTGCAGGCTCTGTATGACCACTTAATGGATTTCCTGGCTGATCGAGGAGTGGATAACACATTTGCTGATGAGTTAATTGAGCTCAGCACTGCACTGGAGCACCAGGAGTACATTAAATTCCTTGAAGACCTTAAAAGCTTTGTCAAATGTCAGTAGGCTAGGAAAACAGTGCTCAGTGTGGGCATTACACAGCAGTGCTCCAGCCAGCAATACCACAGTGTATCTTCACAACAGAGACAGAGAGTGAGTAATTGAGTTTGGAAGCGAGCATCATGGCAGAGTGAGGAGTCTCACTTGTATTTTGGGATTTGTATTTATGTTACGTTGCAGCCCAGGATCAAGTTCCCAAACATTAAAGTCTGGACCTGCCTCACCCTACCTGCTGGATTTTGTACTGTTAGGAATGAATGTGAAAAATAAAATCTGTTCAACAACTCCCTGCAAAATAGTGGTTTTTTCTTCATGCTGATCAGTTGCTGTAAGAAGTGATATTAGTGTGTGTGTCCTGAGAAGTTAAGCATCTGGCTGTGCAGCTGGTCTGTGTTAGCCCAGTTTTCTCTAGGGCTGTTCTAGCTCCTTCAGATACCTAAACTGCCTTCCTGTCAGCATCGCTGTGGCTGAAGGAGGAATTTTGCTAGCTAGGTGATGCTGATTTATGTGACTGCATTTCTGTGGCAAGATGTAGTGGCACCAGGGGTATGAATGAAATCGTGGTTGCCTGATTTTGAGTTGTTTTAAACAGGAAGGTGCTTCCATACCTATTAGTATTAATGCATCTGCCTTAGAAAAATACTGCAGAGAAGTTGGAGCACCTTCCCTGCAGAATGATTCAAGTTCTGTGGATGCTGAATGTCAGAAGCATTGCAGGGCAGCAGTGTGGGCTTAGACTCAAACTGCTGTCTCTGTGTGTTGCCTCAAGGTCTGAGTAAGTCCCAGTGGTAGAGCAGAAGGTGCTCCTGCTGTGTTTGGGAACTGCACACCATGTGGCCATGCATTGAAGAGCTGCTTCCTACTTCAGCTGAAGGCACCCAAGAGCAGAACAAGGAGAAGAGGCAGAATACTTCGTGACTACTTGGTACCTCTCTATTGATTCAATACTTAATAGTCATGAGTGTAGTGGATAAGATTGTAAGGAAGCACCTGTTTTTAGAACAGAATGATACATTAAAAACACTGTCATGGACCGGAAGCTAAATACAAAGTCCAATGCAAGCTGTGAAATCAGTGATACGTTATTGAAGATGATATGAAGGATGAAATATTTATTATAAAAACATGGACTGTGCCATCAAAAGTGCAGGTTAAGGCAGTAGCACTGCCTTGAAGTATTTCTGACACAGCAGACACGAGTATATATACATTAGAAGACAGTAGCAGCTCTAGGTTGAGTTCTAGTCTTGAAGTCACCAAAAAAGCAGCAGCTGAAGCAACTTACAGGAGAATCATCCAGAAGTCACAGACCTTCAAAAGGTAAGGTTAAGTTGAACTGACAAGCTGTAGTACCACATAAAAAATGAATATCCATATGTAAGACTGAAATGCTCTGCTCCTAACTCTTCCCAGCATGCAGATACTCAAACACTGTGTGCACACAAGTAGGTTTACACATCTTAATAGCTTGAGCCAGAAAGAACTTTGAAAGATCCCATAACCCAGCAAGGACAGTACAGCTGTTTTGTTACTGGTGGTCAAAACTAAAACTGCTTCCAAAAAGGCATGTGGAGAGACAGCAATGCAAACCCCTGGGATCAGAGGACTTGTGGCTTCTGTTCATGTAACTGAGAGGTGAATCCAAGCAGGAATCTGACATCTGACTCACCAGACAGGTCATGAGAAGACTGGCTTCCTCCTCCATTCCACTGGTAACTGTGAACTCCGGATTGTGAAGGCACCTGTGACTGTGCTCTGTTATAGTGTTTTCTAGAAGTGACCGAAGCTTCTCTTCCGTCATATCCTGGGGAGAAATAAAGGGGTTAAGAAGAAATCTTACTCATAAGAGGCAGCTTTCAGCCACAGACCTCACCGTGCATCACTCACAGCACAGCTCACCTGGGCAGGGACATCCAACCCACACGGGCAAAAAACTGAGTGGCTCCTCACAGTCAGATGGTTCCTAAAAAAGACACACAGTGAGCATCCTCACATCACTCTTTTTCCATCTTGTTGAAATCCACTGCTTTTGTTTGCCTGCTGTTTTGCCTGTTTCCAAACCCAAACTGCTGCAGCGTGGAGGATCTCATTGCGGTGCTGAGGGCTTTCTTACTTTCTGCACACAGGGCAGATGATTTTGTTGCTGGCATCCAAGCCATCGAGGATTGCATTGAGGCATTCTTCATCAAACTGCAGGCTTCGCTCATATTCTTCTATAACCAGTTGTTCTGGAGGGGAAAAAAAAAGACAACAAAAAACAAACAGAACAACAAAACAACTCAGCCACTTCAGACAAGGCTAAAGCACACGTGGAGCTGCTATGGGGATGCAGGCTGGGGTGGTCCCTTATTGCTGAGCTTTTTATTTTGAGTCAGATTTCCCTGCTATGAAAGTCATTGCTATTAACCCACTTTTTCCTACAGCCTCCGTGCAATCTTAGGAGGGTGACTGTAACACTTTCCAGCCAACAACTCAGAAGTACTCTGGGTTTATTCACGTGGGCTCCTGCAGCTCCCAAGCAGCCCTGTGTCGTGTAGCTCCTCATAGAGCTTCAGATACTGCTTAAACTCCTGGAGCTCTCAAGGTTGCTCTCAGTGCATCAGAGAGGCTGCAGAGACAAGGGTTGTTTCCCCTACATCTCGTGGTTTACATTACACCCTCAGCAGGATGAGGCCCGCGAGTAACAGCACAGCTCTAAGAGGAGTCAGGAAACGCACTGAGAATTTACCTTGCAGGATCAGCTCCTGCTGGATCTCATCCAGCACCGCCAGCTCGTCCGGATCCTCGGGCATCTGAAAGGCACAGCGCTGCGGTTGCGTGCTCACCTGGCCGAGCTGCCGCCGGGACGGGAGATCCCAAAGCTCATCGTTCTGCTCGGTAACACAGCGGTGCGGCACCGCGAAAGCCACGCAGCCGGCGGCGGCACGGCTCGCGGCCCGGCCTTTAAATGCTGGCTGTTTGCACGGGTCGGGGGACGGCGCCGTTCCAAAGCGCGGCCGAAGAACGGCGGTGGAGCGGAGCCGATCCCCGTCCCGAGCCCCGGCGCTTCCCCCGAGCCGCGCCCGCTCCCGCACCGACCTGGCGCAGCACGCGCTGCCCGCGATCCCCCGGCGCGCCGCGCTCGGCCTGCAGGCTCCGCCACTCTCGCTCCATCACCTCCGGGACCAGCAGCGCGCCGGGGCCCGGCCCGGCCTGGCGGTAGCGGCGCAGCAGCCGCTCCCGGCTGCTCCTCAGGCGCTCCAGGCAGCGCTGCGGGGAGCGGCGGCGCCGCGTCAGGGCCGGGAGCTCTCATCCCGCGCCTCGGGCGAAGGAGCGCGGCGAGAGCTTCTGCGGAGGGGAACCGGGGGCGGGGGGGGGCGGTTGGGGCGTCGCCCCGCTCACCCGCCGGTACGTCTCCTTCCATGGCGGCGCGGCGAGGCTCTTGTACAGCGCCCGGTGCCCGCCGAGCGGCGCCTCCATCGCCCGCCGCCGCCACGTGACCGCGGCCCGGGGCGCGCCGGGAAACGTAGTTCCGACGTGCGCGCGCGGGGGGCGGTGGTCGGCGTGACGTCACGCCGCTCGGCGCCGCCGATTGGCCGCCGGCTCGGGGCGGTCGCGGGCAGCGATGGCGGCCGAGTGGGGTCCGGCGGAGCGGTGGCGGGCGGCCCTGCCGCAGCACGCCGCCTTCGGCCGCCTCCGCGAGAGCGGCGCCGCCGCCCCCGCCGCCCCGCGCTCCCCGCTGATCCGCAGCCTGCTGCTGGGCCTGGACGGAGACCTGCTGCTGTGGGACGGCGAGCGCGGCGCGCTGCTCGACGTCGACCTCCGCCGTCTGAGCGGCGCCGAGCCGGAGCTGGGCCGCTACCAGGTGAGGGCGCGGGGCTCCGCGGGGCTCCGCGGGACGGACGGCGATCTGAGCCCCGGCCCCGCGCCGCCCGTCCCCGCAGACGCTGCTGTGCATCAACCCGCCGCTGTTCGAGGTGTACCAGACGCTGCTCAGCCCCGCGCGGCGCCACGTGGCGCTCGTCGGCACCAGGGGGCTGTCGGCCGTGGAGCTGCCCAAGCGCTGGGGCAAAAACTCCGAGTTCGAGGGCGGGAAGGCCGCGGTGAACTGCAGGTGGGAGCCGAGCTCCGCTCCCGCCGCCCCCCCACCCCGTCCCTTCGGAAGCCGCTCCGTCCGTGCGGTCACAGCGGCCGTCTCCGCTCTGTTCCAGCACCATCCCGGTCGCGGAACGGTTCTTCACCAGTTCCACGTCCCTCACCCTGAAGCACGCGGCCTGGTACCCCTGCGAGACCCTGGAGCCGCACATCGTGCTGCTGACTTCGGATAACACCATCAGGTGAAGCCTTTTCGCGCCTCGCGTTCTCCCTGCGTTCCTTCCTCCCTTCCTGCCACAATCGCTGTGTACAGAGCAGGGTGAGAGGAATTGCAGATGGGCAGCAGCCGACCGACCATCAGTGCTGCTTCTTCCCTCTAGGATCTACAGCCTGAAGGTGCCCCAGACGCCCATCAAGGTGATCGCGCTCTCGGATGCTGAGGAGGAGACTCTGATCATCAACAAAGGGTTTGTGAGGCACCTTTTGAAATGCTCTCGGCAAGACAAGTTGTGTGTTCTCAGTCCTGTCTCTAACGAGTGACGGATCCCCCTGAAAACTGAAAACCCCCTGAAAACTTCTTGCAGCTCAGAAAGCAAATGGTACCCTGGGCTCCATCAGGAGAGGGGTGACAGCAGGGACAGGGAGATGATTATCCCTGTCTACTCTGCTCTTGTGAGGCCCCATCTGGAGTACTGTGTCCAGGTCTGGAGCCCCCAATACAAGGAAGACAGGGCGCTGTTGGAGAGGGTCCAGAGGAGAGCCACAGAGATGATCAGGGGACTGGAGCACCTCCCCTGCGAAGACAGGCTGAGGGAGCAGGGCTTGTCCAGCCTGGAGAAAAGAGGGCTGAGGGGTGACCTCATTGCAGCTTTCCAGTACCTAAAGGGAGCCTGCAAACAGGAGGGGAATCAACTCTTTGAAAGGTTGATAACAGCAGAACAAGGGGGAATGGCTTTAAGTTGAGGGAGGGAAGGTTTGGATGTCAGAGGGAAGTTCTTTACTATGAGAGTGGTGAGGTGCTGGAACAGCTGCCCAGAGAGGCTGTGGATGCCCCGTCCATCCCTGGAGGTGTTCAAGGCCAGGTTGGATGGGGCCCTGGGCAGCCTGGTCTGGTATTAAATGTGGAAGTTTGTGGCCCTGCATGTGGCAGGGGGTTGGAGATTCATGATCCTTGGGATCCCTTCCAACCCCGGCCATTCTGTGTGAAAATCAGATTTATTCATGACTTACTGCTCCCACACTCCTGTGCTGGGGCTGCTTCCTGGCACAGTAGCGATGCTGTTTTTTCCTTAACATTTCTAAAAGAAGGAGGGCACAGACTGCACAGCCTGGTGTTCTTCAGAACAGTCATTTGAACAATGCGTGTTATCCTTAAGAAGGTTTTAAGAAGGCCTTTTTTGAGCTGGGAATACAGGGAAATAGGTTAGCTTTTTATTTCCTCCTTGGCCTTATTGGAAAGGAGAAACTTGACGTTCTCTACTGGGTGAGTCACAGCCTGCTGTACTACACAGGAGATCCCACTGCCCACCTCCTTACCCTGTGAGCTGGGCACTTCAGAAACGAGGCCCTGGAGGGAGGATGTTCCCTGCACGCTTCTGTTGCTGAAAGTAATGTGTGCCAAAGGACTGATGGGCAGCTGTAATTTGACGTACAGATGGACCTCAGTAAATGCTTCTGTTCTCACAGTCACTGCTGACTCACTTTTGTTCCTGCTTATCCCTAGGAGAGCCTACACAGCTTCGCTGGGAGAGACAGCAGTGGCATTTGATTTTGGCCCGCTGGTGCCCGTCCCAGTGAGCATTCTTGGGCAGCGAGGCAGCGAAGAAGTGCTGGCTTTTCCACTTTACATTTTATATGAAAATGGAGAGACGTTCCTCACCTATATCAACCTGCTGCAGAGGTAGGCTTGCATTCACCCTCAAGTTTCATAGAGTCTTTGTATGTTTGGTTCCAGAGCCATCTCTTCACCTCGCTGGGATTGTGTAATGGATGCTGGGCTGGTCTGTGTTGTCATTTGTTTGATCTCTTTGTGGTAGTGCTAGTAGACTTAAATCCAAGAATAACATGTTAACTCCAAACTATTGTGTTTGTTGTTTTAGTTGTCTATTTTTTAATCACCCTCATTCTCTAGTTATCCTTCAGTAAACTCCTGCAGGCAGCCATGGGAACTCTGCTCCTACACTTTGTGTTGTGAATGCATCCCCTTTATTCCAGTGCTGGAAATCTTGGCAAGCTGCTTGGCCCTTTGCCCATGCACCCTGCTGCAGAAGACAATTATGGCTACGATGCCTGTGCTGTCCTGTGCCTGCCTTGTATTCCAAATATCCTGGTGATTGCCACTGAATCAGGCGTGCTTTATCACTGCGTGGTGCTGGATGCAGAAGAGGATGAGGAGCAGGTACCTCCTCTTGATATTTCTGTGAACGTTTTCCTTTCTTCTGTGAAAGTTCCTGCCTTCAAGAATGGCAGAATGCCTCGAGGGGAAATTAAGTGCCAAAGCTGCATTCTTCTGTAATGAGGCAGTGAGTCCTCCTGTTCCAGCCAGTGCCTGTGATCCTCCTGTGCTCTTGTAAAGGTCAGCTGTGTGTATCCTGCAGGTGCAGCCATTTCAGTCTTACCATGAACTGTTTTCAAGAGGATGTTCTGAAGAAACCATGTGTTACAGAGCTTCTTAAATGGAAAAAAATAAGGGGACTTTAACAAATTTCTCCAACAGTTAATACACTTGCCTACCTATATTGTGTGACTCAGTGCTATTTACACTTTTATTTCTATTTAAATGATGTCTTATCAAAGAATTCAATGTTCTTTACAGTCAGAGAAATCGTGGGACCCAAGATCTGATCTTGTTCCTTCCCTGTACGTGTTCGAATGTGTTGAGCTGGAACTTGCACTGAAATTGGCATCAGGAGATGAGGAAGAGCCTTTGGAGTCTGATTTCTCTTGTCCAATCAAACTGCATCGAGGTAGGGTTATGTAGCTCAGGTTGTTGTCTTTTACTTGCTTGAAATTTGGATCAGGTTATTTAAAAATTATTGTCATCTCAAACAGGATAAGCATTTGCTTGATGTCTTAAAGCTGTGGAAAATGTGCATAGTCAATGGGGAATTGTCACACGACTATTTAAAGGGAGGGGGAGGGGCACGTATGTAATAGAAAACTCTCAGCTGTGGATTAGATAGCAGAAGTTGTTGCAGCTGTGGTAATCTATGCATGTAAGCCAAGTGGTACAGCTGTGGGTGGTGATGCTGAGAAGTGTTGGTGCTTGTTTATTAGCCTGTCAACTGGCCCTGTTGTAGGGCAGGAGGATTGGAAGCACAAGGAAGCTGGTCTGAAAGCTGGTCTGCTGGCATTAACTGATCTTCCTTTGAAGCCTGATGGATAGAGACAGATGTTGTATAATGCAACTAATTCTAATTAATTCCTGAAGAATGTCTTAACAGATGCTGCAAGTGTACTTGATTTACATGCAGCATTCTAATTCTGTGGCTACTGCATGTAGCTCAGACCTTGAATAGGCACTACTGCAACGAGTTGGACAATAGGCCAAAACACACATTCAGCAGTGTGCAGGTCTGCAGAATGAGTTTTTCTCTGCAGTGCTTTATACTCCGTTTGCTCTTTAAATTTCAGATCCCAAATGCCCTACTAGATACCACTGCACACATGAAGCAGGTGTTCACAGTGTGGGGTTGACATGGATCAGCAAACTGCAGAAGTTCCTTGACTCAGGTGAGGGCGAAACTGTTGTGTGTAGAGGGAAATAGCTGATGTCTGAACACCAATGTTTTCTTAGCAACAAGCAGAGGAATATTTGGAGAATACTGAGAACACCTTACCCTGCAAGGTGGATGTTGTGCATTCCAACAGATCTCTTCTTTGCAGATGAAGAAGACAAAGATGGTTTACAAGAGCTGCGTGCAGAGCAGAAGTGCTTTGTCGAACACATTCTTTGTACCAAGCCATTGCCATGCAGGTAAAAAGCAAAACCTTTCTGCTGCTTCTAAATCAGTGTGTTATTCTGGGAAAACGTCTATGATTTGCCCTCTTCTACTGTATTCTTGCTATTAAAGATAATAAAATCAACTTAATAGGATTCTAAAATCAACTTAATAGGATTCAAGTAAAATAAATAATTTGCAAATCAACATTCTTAATGTATAGCATAAGCTAAATTCCTATGAGTGGTAGAATTATCTGTCAAATTAGAAAAAATTCCACTTCTGTTTGCCTATCCCAATGCAGCTCTGTGGCTTGCTTCATCTAATAATCCTGATCCTTGATGTGTTCTTTTATCCCTGTGTTAGGACCAGGCTGTGCTTTGAGAGATCTTCTTGTTTTTTGAACTCTGAAGGTACCCCACTCAGGGTCAGGAGGCACTGCAGGCATAGGCTGTGTGTTACTGTGTCTGCTGCATCTTCTTGCTTTAATAAGGCCTAATCAGTTCTGTTGAGTGCTCTGTATTAAACATAATTAAAATGCAAGAAATAATCATTACTTGTGTTCCAAACACAAGTCAGATGAGTCATCTAGTCAAAAGGATTCCTGAAGTCAGAACGGGTGACAAATAGCCAGTGGTGTGAGTAGTAATGAACCTATGGTGCTGTGGTAGAAGGGGGAAGAAGGTTTCTGGGTCTTGGCATATTTCTGCTTCTGATTCACAGGCAAGTTGTATGGGGGCTTCCTCCCTCAGGATGGATGGGTTTGCTTGGTACGTTTGATTATCAGATTCCATGACTAACTGTTTTGCAGGACTTCTTCTGGGGAGTGGTTCTTAGCTTTGTGACCCAAGTCTGGCTTAAGCTGATGGCTGTGAATAGAGCTTTTCCCAAAGAATTTGCACAACTTTCAGGAAGAAAGTATGCTTTTTGAATGGATGATTCTTCTGTTTTCTTCCCTTCAGGCAATCCGCTCCAGTTAGAGGATTTTGGATAGTATCTGATGTGCTGGGACCCACAATGATCTGCATCACAAATACCTATGAGTGCATTACAAGGCCACTCCTGTACGTGGTTGGTAATTGGACTGAAGTGCATGGACTGCCTTACAAAAAGGATTCCGGATTTCTTACTTGATTTGATTCTTTCACCCTGAATTTCTGCATCTCTCATAGCACACACTGAAGTCTGCCTACTGAATGTTCCTTGGCAGACCACTTAAGCCTTCAGAGAGTAGTTATTTAATACTGAAAAGGTGCTCTGAGGGGATATAACCAATCTATATCACTTTCAGTGAGGGTTAGGACAAACCTTACATCAATTGATTTCTGACATCATTGTTGCATTTTGTTCACTTTTATAACAAGGAATCTGCATAGCAGAAACTGAAGAGAGATTGGGACATGCTGCTATTGGAGAGCTTGCTTGCCTTGTTACTGAACTGGCTTTTAAATAAGAGGATACTTGAGATTCTTCTCCCTTTTTAGCTGTGGGCAAAGAGGGGGATTTTTGAGCTCCACCAGCCCTGCCTAGAGCTACATTTATCATACAATTGAAGTATTTCATCTTTTAACTTGCTGCTGTAATGTGTGAATTCCACAGTGGATGAGTTCCTTGCTTTAACTACTGTTTAAACTCAGTTGTAGTTTAAGGCTTTTAAGTGCTCTCCACTTGATGTTCTTTGGCAGAACTGCAGTCCATCCTGCATCTCCTTCTCTACTGTGTACCAAAGAAGACAAAGATGATGCCACTTCTCCTCTCCGTGTCCTGGCTGAATCACAGCATTCATTTGAGAAGCACATCCAAAGCATCCTGCGGCGTAATTCTGCCAACCCCTTGCTCCTAAAGTAGGTACAAACTTTTTCCTAGGGGAGCAGCAAAGGGAACTCTTTAGGAATGCCATATGTTCATTGTCTCCTGTCTGAACAACACAGCAGCTTGGAAAGAGCAGTTATAGGCATGCAGTTTCTGCAGCAGACTTGTGCCTTTGGATGGCATCCACGAAAGCTGTTTGTCCTGGTTTCTGCTCAAAGTGATGCTAACCTCAGTGCTAGATTAGGCTGCTCAAGCCTTGTCTCATTGGGTTTTGAGTGTTTTAGAACATCTTGGGATTTTCTCATTAGGAAAACTGTATTATTGCAAAGGGATTTAGTTGTAGCTTCTCACTTTTGTATCTGAGGCCTTGGAGCTCTTACCATAAATGCTTTAAGTGTCAGCCTTTGCAAGGAACAGGGAAGAGTAGGATTGCAAAAACTTGTCTCCTATTTATTCAGATCTGCCGATAAAGATGCTGCTCCTCCCCCTGAAGAATGCCTTCAGCTTCTTAGCAGAGCCACCCAAGTGTTCAGAGAGGAATATATACTGAAACAGGATCTGGCAAAAGAGGAAATTCAGCAAAGGTAAGAAAAAACCTTCATAAATTAAGTGCTGCACGCTGTCTGTGTGGAATGGTGTTACTGAGAACCCAGCACTAAACCTCCCCTGCTGGAGTAACTCATGTAACTGAGTAAAATGTATTCTGTGACTTCAGTTCATGTAAGACTTCAATTTCTGGATTACCAGAAATGAAAACTGAGTTACTGAGGAAGCACTGAAGTAAAAATGCTTCTCTTCTGGTGCGAGTCTGCTTGTTGGTCTGCCTGTGCTTGGGCATGGCAGGAAATCCTTTGGAACTCCTCTGACCTCAGCAATAATTCTGACAAAGCTGCTAAAAAGAAAAATTGCATTATATAACTCTCTACTTCTTTTGACTGGAGTGGTTGATTTATGTTATGAAATTAGGCCAAAAAGAAAGTGTTCTCAACTGCCCATGTCTTGGTGCCTTCTGAGATATTTGCTATGTGGCCTAAATACTGACTCAGCTGGACTGCTGTTGGGGGTGGTTTAATTTTTTGTGTCTATTTTTAAGAGTGAAGTTGCTGTGGGGACAAAAGAAGAAACAACTGGAAGACCTTAATTACTGTCGAGAGGAAAAGTGAGTATAATCTGTCTGCATTTATCAAGTTAAAATCAGTAAAGATGTAACTGTAAATAAACACTTCTCAATTGCATTAAAGGAAAAGTTTGCGAGAAATGGCCGAACGGTTGGCTGACAAGTATGAGGAAGCCAAAGAGAAGCAAGAAGATATTATGAATAGGTGAGTGCAGACTGCCTTCTGTTTCATCACAGATTGCTTGCTGTTGTGTATATGTGTGCCACGATGGTAGAATAGGCAGACAGTACTGTGCTGGTTGCTTGGAAGACTGGCCTTCTGAAATTCTTTTTTTGCAGCTCAGAGATGACATTCAGTACTGAGTTTGCTTGCTGTTAGGGAAGTTGAGTCTTGAACCCCTAAGACTTAAGCTAAATGACAAAAAATGTTTCACAGTTACGTGCAAAACTCTTGTTGTCTGAGCATAACTAGTCTAGAACATAAGTTAACTCAGCAATATATCTTTTCTTGCACATGAAGGATGAAGAAAGTGCTTCGTAGTTTCCAATCTCAGCTTCCTGTTATATCAGACAGTGAAAGAGATATGAAGAAAGAACTGCAGACAATCCATGACCAGCTGCAGCACTTGAGCAATGCAATCAGACAGGTGAGATGAAATGTCTGGCTGGTCAGTTGCTGATAACACTCATTAAATGATAGCACTGAGTTGGAACACACTCCTTCCACACTGACACGAAGCTGCCCTGTTAAATTAGCAACACTGGGCTGCAGTAAATTCTGAACCTCATTAGAACCTCTGCAACCCAGTGCAAAGCTAAGGAAGTCTCCATGCCTTCTCTGGTCCCTGTACTAGTATTTTTTTTCTCTTTTTGTGGAACAGTGCAAAAGCTTGCTGATTTTATCCCAACCAGAGTCAGTTCATTGTGATGTGCAATGTGGTTGTAGCTATAATATGCTTTCCCTCTAGTGGGCAGCACCAACACTGACTGGGACTCCTTCCTTTTATCTGTGACTGCTAGGTTAAAATGAAGAAGGAATACCAGCAGAAAAAGATGGAAAAGGGCATCAGCCCACGAAAACCCAGCATCACCCTCAGTGCCTACCAGAGCAAGTGCATCCAAACCGTTCTGAAAGAAGAGTAAGTTCAAGCTTGGATCCTCCTGTAGAGTTTGAGTGTAGCATGTACATAAATTATCCTTTAAGTTATTCTTTTTAAGTTTCTAGAGTAAATTTTACCTCTCTACATCACGTGGTTGACTGATGCACCACCTGGAGCTTGTAGAGATGGTCTAAAGCATAGAAGGTGCCAGCTTGTTAGAGTAGCACTGGTCAGATTATTCTACTAGTACTGAATCTGCTTTCAAGTCTCCTTTTTGCCTGAGGATCTTCTGGCAGTCTGTATGAAGTCTGTAATTAGCAGAATCGCTTAAAACAATATTCCCATTCTCTGCTTCTATCATATGAATTGTTTTTCTTATTGACTGTCACTAAACAAAAATGACTTGCAGCTTTTTGATTTGAATTTATTTTTCTTGAAGGGGAGAACGCATAAGGGAAATGGTAAAGCAGATCAATGACATCAGAGGCCATGTGAACTTCTAACATCTCCAAGAGAATAAACCTACAATAAAAGGCTGGATAAGTGTTCATTAGTCCCTAGTAATTTTCCTTATAATATTCAACATTCATACACTGAACAATATGTCTTTTCTTTATTATTTTGTAAAGATCAATTATGAATTAAAATACTTTTGATAAGACTCCTCACATGCTGTGGTCTTTGCATTTCTCCTGGCAGGACACAGTGCAGCAGGCTATTTCAAACCTGAAGTACGATAATTAATACTCACAGCTAGCTCAGATGTGGGGGAAAAGGTATCACTGCTTCCTTCAGAAAACTGCCTGGGATTTGTCTGGGAGTCATCTCCTGCCTTTGGTCCGTGGCACAGTGACTGTATTGGAAGCCTGGGGCAGAAGGCAGAGTAGAAAGACCAGAGAAGCGCATACACTTCAGCAGCTTTTTTTAATTGGGAACACTTTCTTCATAAAGGACACACCTTCAATACAGTTAACAAATGGTTACACTTGAATCCTGTAGACAGCAGAATTCTACATCCACAATTGCACAGGACACCAATGGCTTGGTTCACTGGAATGCAGTATTAACTTCCAAACACTCAGTTTGCCTTTATCAAAAGCTGTCACTGTCTTGACATTAAAAGGCCAATTATCTGCTGTAGACAAGCTTTAGTGGACAATATATAATTCTTGTTTCTCCCCCTCCCTCCCACACTTCCCCTTTCAAAAGGTGACATGGTCAAGCTCAGTTTTGAAAAGTAGTACTGCACTGCTACAAAAGTGGCACAGCAAGAGGTGCCAAAGTAAAGCTGTAAGGAAAGGAGGGCTGTGATTACCTGTTAGGTAACTAGGTTACCATACATGCTGCAAGAACACTTTTTTTGTACAGATTAAGACTATACAAGTATAGGAATGCATACAAAACTTGATCTTTCCCCTTTTACAGACTGCATAAATAGAATCCAGCTTTCTAATCCACTCACCCTGTGTATCAGAGCTGAACTGCCAGGTTAGAAGTAGTGCCTGTTAAAAAAACACGGACTCTTACTGAGTGAGAAGAACCTACCACCCCATTCAAAACAAGCTCCAGAAAACCAAGAACTGGAGGGAAGAGTGTTTAGTCTCTGATTTATTATAAGCAATATCATCATAATCCACTGAGTGAGCATCTACAGCTTTACAGCAAGAGTTTTTAACTACACTTCATCGACAGTGGTTTAATAAGTGCTCTGCAAATTTGGCACTTTTATTTTCTTTTTTGAAGGCCACTTTACATTTTCTTACATTTGTGTTCAGCTGAAGCTTGAGTTACCACCTCTGAAGCTGTGCTTTCCTTCCCCAGCAGGACATTTGGTTGTAGCATGGCCCACCACTTTTGTGGATGGCTAAGTTTCTAATTTTAAAATAAATTTTTAAAAGGGATGACCAGCAGTTGGTGAAAAAGATCACTCACTCAGCCTCAAAATGGTCACAGGACTAAAACAGGGGTAAGGGTGCACAACGGAGTAAGGTGGTACAAAGGAAAACAATCACATCATCGCTGAATATCCTTCCTCTCCAAACCAAAGGATGTCACTCCAGTGACACATGCAGTACTGCTTCACAACCAAGGAACTCAGCAGCCAGCACCACTCCTTTCAGTGCTCATTAGTCCCTTTTGAGCCCTACTGCGCACACGTCCAGCCTCAGACCAGGCCTACAGGCCATCACTGGCCACTGGGAAAAGCACACAAGCATGCATACGGACACACACACACATGCACAACTTCATTCTGCAACTGCTGAAATTGTTACTGTGTCTATGAACCATCACAGACTGATCTCTTTCTCTCAACTGCTCTCCTCTACAGACTGCAGAAAGGCTCCCTGCAGCCATCATCATCTGCAATCTGACATCACCATGCCTACAGAAAGCCATTTGTAAAAATTCACTAAAGGAAAAGCCTCACCAGCCCTGCACAGTCCAAAATGGTCAGCCATGGCCATGGTTCAGGGGAAGGCAAGAACAGGCAGGAAGATGGGGCTGCTGATGATAGGTACTGACAGTCAGACTAGAAAGGGATGCTGAAATGCCATTAACAGTTCTCTCGCATTAGAAAAACAGTCCACAAAGCTCAACTAAAAATTCTTTTTCAGCACTTGTCTTCAGGGGCAATTCCTCAAGTGTTCAGCTTGCTCAGAAGATGCACATCATCACTGTAGTTTAACCAGAAAACAACAGGCTTCCTTAAATCACTGCTGCACAGGTTAACAACCAGTAACCAGTTAAGAGTCAGTTTTATGGAAGGGAGAGAATGCAGGAAAAAAGCCTTCCAGTCTGCAGCTCCTTAATAAAGACCTATCTTAGCCCACCCAAGATTTTTATTCAACATTATACAATGCTAACCCTTGGAAAACAGAATGCAAAACATCTGCTATTAGATTTCTGCATCAGAAGGCAGCTGCTCTCACCTCACAGTTCAGTAAATGCTGAGACAGATTAAAAAACCCAAAATAAAGAACCTAAGTCACACTTCAACTTCTTTTAAATGAAACAAAGACTCATCTGGAAGATGACAACCCTGCCATCTATTATGCTAGTTGTTACTCAGGTAAGAAAAAAGGGTTTGAAGTGTCAGGATTATGAAAGAAATTTATTTCTTGGGTGAATAAAATGCCTTATTTCTTGCAATAAATGATAAGCAACTGAGCTCATATGCTTCTTTTGGCTGTTTTTAAGGCATTCCTCTCCAAAACCACCAGTCCTAACTTTATGTTAGTAGCAGGACATACAGTGCTAAAATAGGATTTAAGTACCTAACAAAATATAGTTATGTGCATTACAGTACTGAGCATTCTCTGTCACTTCTGTTTTTTTCATTATCACCAGATCTACGGTATGCAAAAATAACACAGTAAACAATAGCAGAAAGCATAAGATATAAACTCTGGACAATAACAAGCTGCTCTCTCAGCCTCTCCTCTTCGAATTGAGTCTTTCTTTGCTATGGACTAGTCCAAGGACTCAATATGCACCACCACTATTACCACATCCGTACATTAAACTGTTCCTATTCAACTGCGTGCATGAAACTCCACTAAAAGGAGAAAAAGGAGGAATGCTTATGTTACCATCATGTTACTTATATAAAAATCCCAAACCTAAAACCTGATCAATCACAAGAATGTCCTGCCTTAGCTGTTGTGTTACACAGCGTAATTTAAATGCATGCTTACAGAAATACAGGACAGCGTACGAATCAACTCTGAGCAATAACACAATACTGTACTTCTAAGTAAGAGATGCACTGCACCTTTCCAACTTGAACCAGCAGAATAATGCAGCTCCAGCGCATTTGTGCTCTGTGACAGAGTGCCATCACTGTTTGGGATGTTATTAAAACTGACCCAGAAGAGAAGGGTGAAGCTGACTTTGCTTTGTTCAACATCTTACCTTGACCATGCCTGGTGCCACCTACCAGAGCAAAGCTGCCCTGCACAAACACCAAGCCAGTGCTCAGACAACGCACAGGGTTTTTGCTAACATATTTTCTTCAAGTGGAGAAGGAATTACTGGTACTGCTCAGCTTTTAAGATGAGAAAGAACTAGTTGTAACTCCACGTTTTAAATTACATTTGTGAAAAGAGATTACAAAACAGTGCATTTCTTGTGCTTTTCTTTAAGGATCAGAATTCAAAGGAAGCATTTCAAGGAGCTACGTTCTCAGTACAGTTTTCAGAGTTGTTTGGATTGGCATTTATCTGTTCAGGAGACACACAGCTCACTCGTGACCACCACATTTCAGCAGCATTCAGATTCTTCAACACAAAGTCAATGGTTAAAAAAAAAAAAAAAAAATACAACACTGAGTTATGAAATAAGATCAATATCCAGTGTCCTGCTAATAAAGTCATATTTTAATATAAAATATTCATACAGCATACTCTACACCTCATTCTCTCTGCTAGCTGAATACTGTTACTGACTATTCAAACAGAAAAACTTCAACCACTTTGCTCTTCAATGTTTTGGAGGGACAATATGGTTTCCAGCAGCTACTTTGATCACAGTAGTGGGGGGAAAGGAACAAGGGAAAAAAAAGGGGTAAATGTTCCAAAATTCTACATCAGGTTACGAAGTTGGCTGAAAGAGGGGAAGTTTTTCAGAATGTAAGGACTGATCCCACTCAGTGGAACATGAAACACCGCACCCATTAGTGTTTCCATTAGAAAGTTCTCCTTCCTACACAACAAGTCATTCTTGTGCTCTCTTCCTGCCCAGCACGAAAACTTTTCCCCTCTAGAAACAAAACTTAGTCATTGCTCCCCTCTGTTGTCTTCTGCTCTTTCAGTTAGAGTTAAATAATAATTAATGTTGCTATAAAGATGAGTTAAAAACCCCCAAATGCAGCCTTGGAGCACGCTCATCAGGGTGTCATGTTTCAGGAAGCTGATTAATGTCCGTCAGTTTTGTGTCATTCAGGATTGCACGGATTCTCTCCAGGGAATCTGCCTGCCGGATCCGCTCCAGCTGCACCTATGGAAAACCAAGAGACACATTGAGTGAGTAAAACCAGAACTGAGCCACTAGGTAACGTCAGCAAGCCCTACTACCTGCACAATCAGAAGAGACATCAAATTATCACTGGTTGAAAAACGCAAGGCTTGAAGGAACACAAACTTAATTCAGAACCAAGAACGTATGGTGGAAAGACAGAAGGTTGCTGTGCTTTTAAGATACAAGCTAGAGTCTAGAGTGCCCAAGCAATCCTCCATCTTCACTCTGCTTTGTCTAATAACCAGCCATTCACCACAGGGGTCAGGCAAACTGGAGGAGATGTCTAAAGCAACATAAACTTTCATGGAAGTAAACAGACATGCCTGACACATGCCTTCAGGCCTCTCAAGATTAAAGCTGAAACTCTTCCAGAGGTGTTCCCTTTGCCAAGTGCAATCCTGTTACTTGCTCTTCTGATAAACTCTCAAGTCATTTCATGCTGAAAAATCCCCTGCAGAACTGCAAGTAAATTAATGCAAAGAGATCATCAATTCTTTGGAGGGGGAGTGATTCAAACTTTTGAGCTTTGTGTTAGCATCTGAGTTTTCTGTTGTATATTCCCAGCTACTGGTTAACTGATTTTTAGTTCTTCTTCATTGCGGATACCTAAACTTGGCCAGTCGACACCTCACCCAAGTGACAGCAAGATACCCAAATTCTCATCCAGTAGTAATCTCTCTTGTGTTAGACAGCAGACCTTGTGCTATGACCAGTAGATACAGCACAAACCATTGCATGAACATTGAAAACATAAACAGGTAAGAAGCTAAAATGTAATGACTGCTTAAGGGCAGAAAGACAAAGTACACAGCTACAACACACTCACTGAGGTAACTACTGAAGGCCCACCACACTGCCTGCAGGTTTTGAAAGAACATTGCATGTCTTCAAAGTAGCGTGCATATTACTGCTCTTGGAACTGCACACACCAGCTCATGCTGTACTTTAGAAAGCGAGGATGATAATAAGAAAGAAACAATTTCACCAGCCAGCAGAATTCAATAGTCCCTCTTGTACTACATACTCCTCCAGAAACAGCCAGAACAAAAGACAGTTCCCTACTGTCCATCCACCTGAGCTCTGTTTAGTAAACAATCTCCTACATTCCTGTTTTTGTTTTCCAAATAAACCTGAACTTCTGACTCAAAACAATCTGTACTAACTCCACTGAATTTCACTAAGTGGACTCGCAGAACCCAAAGGAGAGAGAGCACTGAACTTCAGCGTATCGCTTGTGAACAAGGTTCCCAGTGGTTCTGATGGGGAGCAAATCCAAAAAACAGACACTGAAAGTGAGATCTAACCTTGCCCCATGAGGATAACACCATCCTGCAAACACTACATCTACAGCTCCTTTGGTGCTTTGCACAGTTAACAGTAAGAGAGAGATCAGCTGGAATTAGCCTTAATGAAGACCCCTGCCAAAACTCACTGTCTCATCACCAACCACATATTCCACCTCTTGGAGGACATACAAGGAGAGAAACAGCAACAACAACAAGGATAAGACTTGAATAGCATAAATAGAAAGCAGTAAGTATAGCATGAAGAAGAACTATTCCACACATTCACAACCAAACTGTAAAAGTTCCTGATTCTGCCCTCAAATTTTTCACCTTATAAAATGCAATAAGGTGTGTCAGTTGGTAAAGAAGTCAGGAAATGGACAATGAAATGATGAAATGCTGGGGGCCCAAAATTACTGTCTTTTATGACTCTCTACAGTTTATCATAATAACTGTACATCTTTGTTGCTGAGAACAGGTTGAAATCAATAATCAGAATTAAACCCCCTGATACAAATATTATACTAGCAATACCTAATCAGTTTACTACACTAATAACTCTAAACGTTTTTCATAAACATCAACATAAGGAAAAATTTTAACTGCTTAAAAATTTTAACTTATTTTACTCAGCTCCAGAGAAGCAGAGACACACCTCACAGCTTGCACTGCCCTTACCTGAAGTGTCTGGGAAAGCTTTACAAAATCTCTCTGCACTTGCTCACTGACGTCTAATTCAGTCTGCAGCCTCTGAGCTTTATTCTTCTCTTCAAACACCAGCTGTTCAAGGTTTGCCTGCAGAGAAAAAGATCCTTTATGCTACATTTAAACAGCACAAAAAAGAAAAAAAAGAAAAAAAGAGAAACTTGCATAAACTGATTAGAGCACAATACTGGAGCAAGAAAACATGGTTATACTCAGCGAGCTGGCAAGAAATTAATCCAGTCAATCTACACTTCAGTTTGACAAAATGCAAAATATGGGGCTAATGCTCATCAGTCTTATCATGATTAGATAGGTTCAAGTATGAAGAAGTGCCATGTCTTTTAACAGCAATATGCTCAAGGATCTCAAAATGAAAAAGCATTGTTCTGAGTTTCTTTACAACCTGATTGTAGATGAAGGGCAGTAACCTGCTGTTGAAAATGTAATTATCTTGCTGTCTTTAGTTCTAGTCAAAGAAGTCTTTGGGGGAGGGAGAGGAGAGAAGAGAAATAATAATTGTGATCTGATTTCTCTCTTTTTTTTTTTTATCTTCTTCTATCTGACTCCTTCCTACAGCAACAGAAAAATAACGTTTATTCAGAAATATTAGAGCATTCATACCAAGGCCTGGTTAATCAGGAAGCTTTCTTCGTTTTTATCTTTGAAAGATAACCCAACAGAGATATTGAAGTCAGCAGCAACTCAGATCCAGTACTTTAAAACTCCAAGTGCTAAGTGATTGGAACGAGGATTTAAATCCAGAGGATTTAAAACTGGATTTTAAACCAGCAGAGATTATTTCACTCCCAGAATCTTACCAACATTCCAAAGCTTCCTCTCCCATTCTTAGGTAGTGATATATCCTTTGGATAGAGCCTGATTATCAAAAAAGATGTATATGTACTATACTCCTGGACATATCTACCTTTGCTGCTGTTTCCTTCTTGAGCTGTTCTTCCAGAGTGTTTTTTGTTTCCTGCAGACTCTCCAGCTGCTGTAGGCTTTCCTGCGAAGAACTTTCTAACTGTATAATTAAGAACAAAACAAAACGATTAACCAAAATTTCTGGCACTTCCATTTCTCACAGTCCCTCCACTCAGGAAGTCTATGTGCCACTCCAGAGATCCAGAAATGAACCTAAACAACCCTTCCGAAGGATACAGAAAGCACAATCTGTTTTTCTCTTTTTTTTTTCAGAGCTGGAGAGAAGTAGTCAAAGCTAACTTTTTGGTTATTAATTAGGTAACCTAATGTTAGCTAGAA